ATATATATTTATATATGCTAAATCAGAGTTTTGTTCGATCATTTTTATTTTAAGTGTCAATTTGTCTCAAATTTAAAACATGCAACTTTGGTCCTATAGTATTTTTATTAGTTAAATTAATCCCCCAATCAATTTTTTGCACTAGTTATGTTAATTTTAACTAGTGTGATAAATTAACAGAAGAATCAACTTGGTCTAAGAAATAATTTAAGATCTTTATGCGATAAAAGTGATTTAAAACCAATATTTTTAAAATCAAATGAGTCATTGAATTTGTCTAAATATTAGTTTAAGGTTTAATAATTCAATCATTGTTGAATCATGATCAAATTGGTATTAATAAAATAATAATTATTATTATTATCAATAAAAAATAATATTAAATAAATATAATATCGTAACTTTATAACACTTAAAATTAAAATAAAATATTATTTATAAATTCTTAACATTTAACGTAATATAATATTTAATTTTTAAACTAAATATAATATAATATTTAATTTTAAATTTTAATAAAATATAGCAATATCTACTAATAATATATTTATTTTAATTTTTAAATATGTATTTTTATTAAAAAAATTCTAAATAAAATTTCAAAAATAATAAAATATATTTTTTAATTGAACCCGTTCAAACTAGTTGATCAATTTTTTTTTAATGATTTTGATCCAATTTTCTATCAAACATTTCTGAGACCAATCAAACCAATTAAAGATTGAGAATCAAATTTTTAAGACCATGATTCAAACAACAACAAACAAAAAAAAAACTAATATAAGAACTTTGTTCCGTTGTTTGTGGGACTCAGTTTTCACAGTTTTGATGTCTTGAATCCAAGATTTCATCGCTTAACAATTTACTTAAATTGTATTCTTTTAAGGGTTTAAACAAATTTTTGTGGCCTTAGATGACCACCTCGTTTGTCTTACAGTAGCTACTGCCATGGACCCTAACCCAACAAGGAGTGATCGTATATCACTTTATTTTGTTACTATTATTTTCTTCACCCAGGAAGGGAAATAAAGCATTAAGAAATAGGGATTAGGAAGTTAAAAGAATGTTACCACACAAGATGAACTTTTCGGATTGCAACTCCATCTTGAAGTTGGAATACAAGACAGATAATGGCACCAGGAGCAGTAATCATTTGCATTAACACCACGCAGAAGTGCAACAAGGCCAGTACTAAACCTGTCATGCAAATATTTAGGCATGAACACAACTAAATAAATCAAAATGACATAATCAAAGTAAAAAAAGAAAAAAGAAAAGTAGGGACTGTAACATTAGATTTTGACATATAGGTTTGTATTTGGATTCTAGCCCAAGTCAAATAACACTGCTCCTATAAATATGTTCCTTTTGGTTCACTAGATGTTGAATCTAAAAACAATGCCCAAAACCAATGTATCAACATGATTAATAATTTCCAAGTCCCTTTTCGTATACATTTTTTTTTTCTGGAGTAAATTAAATATTACAAAAGTGAGACTTCTGCATACCCAACAATTAGCAGGATCAGGGCTAGGACCCAGGAGATACACTGATATTTGTTGAATTTTGGTTTAATTAATGTTTGAGAAAATGGTTGTGGAGCATTTCGTTGCTTAATCCATCCAAACTGGGGACGGATCAAGAACACAAATCCAAGAAGAAATCCTGAAAGAAACCCTCCAATGTGAGCAAAGTTGTCCACATGTGGAAGAACCCCCACTGCTAGATTGATAACAATGATAAACACAAGGGTGAAGAGTGCTCCTAGCTGCACATGACAAGAAAATCTGAATCAAATCAATAATATATAGTTTACTTTCAAGAGCATCACTCTTCCTTTTGTGATATTCACACTTCAAGTAAAAGCAATTTAGCATGGCACCTTTTTTTCATACAAAGACCAGTTAGTAAGGAGTTCTGAAAGCATGCCTCCTAGTAAGCCAAAAAGAGCACCAGAAGCACCCACAGAGATTCTTTCCCCAATGAATAGAGCAGAAAGCAAGCTACCCCCAAATCCAGAAATCACAAATAGCAGTCCTATAAGCACTGAAATTCAACTACACAATAATTAGGAAAAAATTCTTGGACACAAACAAGGTTTAAGCAACGGTCAATGTCCTTCTTAGAATATCAAAAACCACAACAAAAGAGAAACTAAAAATATACTGTCAATGTCCTAGTGAAATTATCTTAAAGATTCTTCAGGCCTTTACTCTTAGAGAAGAACCTGATATTTGCTAGGCACATATGAATATGTGACACATACCGAACCCAAATTCTTTTTCAAGCCGAATTCCAACGACCAGAAGACCAAACATATTTGCCAAAAGATGGAATACTCCACCATGTAACCACATGCAAGTGATGAGACGCCAACCCTGATGTTCGTAAACCACTTTATGCACAGCCAGAGCCCCCATGTTCAGTAGCCTGAAAAGTTAACAACCACAAATTCTTTAATTTGTAGCTTTTTACTGACGTAACAAATAATCTGTGACTAACATAACCAGTATTTCTGTCAAAATCAAAAACATAATCAGTTCACCAATACTATTTATAACACCAATATCATGTCAGCAATACTTGTTACGAACTAACCAAATCTCTCATGCTAAAACTATTAAGACGCTAAAATGGTCCTATATTAGAATTAATTGGCCTAAATTCAACTATTTAGTATGTGTTTGGACACCGTCCATTACGTGAACCAAATCATCAATTAGCCTGATAGTTTCAGTTTTGACATGCAAAACCACGTTTAGAATTAGAACCAAACACACGCTTATTAGAAGAATAGAGGTAAATCTATCTTATGTTATTGTTTACATTATTCTTTCAAGGCTTCCTTTAGAGAATCGGTATTCGGTACATGAATGCACATGACACTGGATTTGGTATATACACAATTATTGCGAAAATTCTGTAACTATGAATCAAACTTCAAACATAGAGACTGTGATAACATGAATCAACTAAATCTATTAGGTTAAGACACATGAATCTTTTTACGATTCATATCTAAACTTTACTAGTACTGCAAAAAAAATACTAGAACAAATATGTAGCAGTAATGTAAAAAATAAATAAATTATGCTGTCATTTAATCATAATCTGTCATATATATGTGTAAAATCTTTTATACTCATGCCTATACTAAAAAAACTAATAAGAATTTGACATGATTTTGTAAGTTGAAGTGTGATTATTGGAGAAGATGAATTGATTAGAGATGAGAAAATTTTCAACAGCAGAAGTGGAACTAGGCCAAGAACTCACGTCAATGCTGAGGGTCCCAGAAGAGGGTTCTCACTGAAAGGCTGAAAGGAGAAACGACCTAGGAAGGGGGCAATGCAACGGACCCTACTCTTGGGGCATTCATTGACATACATTGTGATGATGAACACAATGACATTGAGAATGACAAAGAAGGGAATCAACCAAGGAAACCATTCCTTGAAATGCTTCACTTTCCTGTATTCAACTTTTGAAGGCAAAGATGGGTTTATCTCCATTGGATACACCACCTTACACCAATTCCTAGAGTTTACCCTCAGTTGAACCTCCCCCTCCACAGCCATTGAACTATGTGGACTAATATGCATAAGAAGAATTAAATATCTTGAACACTTTTTCAGGCCAAATTTGATCAAACTCTAGTCATAGCAAAGTGGGAATAATGTAATGAGGGTAGTGACTTGATCAAAGGTTTCATTTCACAATTTGACATTTGTTTATACATATTTTTCTCGACATTGCATAAGTTCTCATTTGCTTAAATCATGTTTTCATTATTGAGGGACAGATTTGGAGGCTTCTACTTGGAGATTCCTTTGTTGAAGAAGGACTATAACCGTATAACGTTTCCAACGTACACATCAATGTTCCATGCCTTTGTTGGAAAAAAGAAACAAAAAAAATCATGTTATTGCACAATTGACATTTGGATGCTTTAGGTTCTCAATAGAATTTCTGTGACTGGATATTAAACGACATATACAAAGAGACAGAGGATGGGGTGATAGTTGAAGCTGGCTGACACCATGATTCCACCCATAACAAACAAATTTTGGGTCTGATTCCCAAAATTAAAAATTAGGTCTGCTTCAGTGACGTGTGTGTATATATATATATATATATATATATATATTTATTTACTTATTTATTTTTTTTATATTTGAGGGGGTAATAATTACACTGATGTAATTTTTACTAAATGTTACACCGCTCAATAATTTTATATTAAATGTGAATTTTGCAAATCCAATCGTTAGATTGAAAGTTCATATCTCTTAGATTATATATACAAAATTTTATATTAATCCAAGATGATTTGATACTTCATTCTTATAAAATAAAATTGACGTAATATATTCATTTCAAAATATACTAAAATATGAATATTTTGATTCCTTTCAAGTTGTTATTCAATTTTAACAAAATTTGATATACATGTATAAAGTGATATGAACTTTCAATTTAACAGTTGGATTTACAAAATTCACAATTAATATATAAAGTTATTAAATGATGTAATACTTAGTAAAAGTTACACTAGTGTAATTATAACCCCTATATATATATATATATATATATATATAGAGTGTAGTGAGACAGAAAAATACAAAATGGCTGAAAAAAAATAATATTAAAATGTAGGAGTACTTTTTCTTTTTTTATAATGTCGTTGAAATTAGTGTAAATAAATGTCCATTAGGGTTAGGGAAATATACTTGGAATTGAGATTTAGAATTGGAATTATGATATTTGGAAGCCTATTTAGATTTGAAATCACAATTGTAAGATTTAATTTTGTAGAAATTTAAAATAACTAAAATTAATATTTTCCAAATGTTAACGTTTACCTTGTGAATTACAATCTGTAACCCTACTCCCACCTTCCGTGTTGAAATTTTGGTGTTTTAGAAATATAGAAAGAGAATAAAGTGCATAGACTTTAAATAATATTTATGATGATTTAAAATAATAAGTAATGTGGTATTAAAGTCTATAACATTTGGGGTTTGTTTAAATTTTTTTTCAAATATAGAAGAAAAAAATAGGAAGATAAAATGAAGTGAGTTTTTTCATAAATTAAAATTAGTTTATGTATAAATTAATTTGTAGAAGTTGTCATTCTATTAACTACTCCAAAATCTCATTTTTAACTTATGGATTAGCTAATTTTAACTTATGGAAAAATTTATTTACATTTATTTTCTTAGAAATATTTTTAGAGAAGCTAGTTCAAAAGAGATCCTTGTCAGGAACTGATGGAATAGGATGAAACAATGATAGGCTACTTGCTTCTTTTGGCCTCCTCCGTTTGCATTGATCTTTTCCTTGAGCAATCCATCGAATGAATGAGGAAGGAAGATGAGAGACTCGGATAGAGAAAATTCCTAGGCTACGGATGGAAGTATCCTAGCCAAAAGAACCAAATGAAAGCTTCAAGTGTAGGAAAATTTAAGGGATTCCTAGAACTATAGAAGGCTTTCGGTGACCTTTGAGAGAGAATAGGCTGATTGGAATTTTCAGAAGTCTCTATTGATTCAAAAGTGTTTTACAAGCATGAGAGGTTAAGCATTTAAAGGCCACGGATCAATGAAATTGGCGCCATGTCCATGTGCACACAAAGTGGCGCCAATTTTGAATTCAAATTCAAATTTGAATTCAAATTTGGACGTCCACTTGCATATGCCATGTGCAGCCATCCCTTCTAGAATTCTAATTGCATTTAGAGGTAATTTAGGATTCATTTAAGTGTACACATGTGCAGCCACCTTTGGCACAAATCATGTGACTCAAGTGAAACTATAATTACTCCTAAATGTAATTAACATTCTATGATCTATGCCTAATACTTATTCCTCTTAAATTCCTATTCGAATGGCCTAAATACAATGGCCAAGCAAATATAATGGAAAGAAAAAATTACAAGAATGAAAATGAGCCCAATATTGGGTACCAAAAGCCCAAAGGCCCATAAAGCCCAAAATTAGGCCCAATAAGCCTATGATCCAAAATGCTACTCTATGTGGTCCAAAATACAAGACCAAATTATATGAAACCTATACTAATATAAAAACAACGAATACATCAATGTATGGCCCATGTGAAACTCATATTGGGCCTTTAAAGCCCATCGGGCCCATTGGACCTTGACTGGCCCAAACCTTCATGCCTAGCCCATTTCTCTTGGATCTTTCAAGTTATCACCCCTGATCTTCCTAGGCATGATTCCATCATCTCCTCCCTCTTGAAAAGGATTTGTCCTGAAATCACGAGGATCCCTGTGATAGGAATCATCACCTACATGTACAAAATACCATGTATAAGAGGTGAAATGTTCATGTGAAGAAAATGGATTGTGTATCCTAAGAGGACTCCATTTATCAAACCTAGCCAAGAAATCTATAACATTAGACTCTCTAGAAATAGGAATAGGATCCTTTTCTAAACAAAGTCTATGTATATAACGAAAACCTAAAAATGTGAAAAAGGTAAGACTATAACATGTGAAATAATTATTTCTAAAAACTACAACATCTTGCCTAAGGTACCTAAATGATGACCTAGGCGTTTCCTAGAATATAAAGACAACAAAACAAAGAAATTTTCTAAACAATTTTGGACTTTATTGTTTGTTAGATAGTCATGAGAAAATAGTGCCCAATGGGTTTTTGAAAACTCATATAAACTATATTTGTGTTGTAGGAAAGGAATCAAATTAAGTTCAAATGTCAAGGAACTTCCCCTAAGATCAAACATAGGATATTGGTCACTACAAATTGTATCTACCAAACAATATGATCCAAGAATTAGGTGCTTTATTAAAACCCCTAAAGAAGGAAGAGTCTTAAAAACAAAAATACTTCTTTTCTTGGGCACCTCCAAGAAAGTAGTATTAGAAGTGAAACTAAGAATATTCCACTCCTTCTTCACTATATCTTGAAGTTGAAAATTATTTGTTTGAAATGATTTTGTTGCTCATTTTCAACTTCATGATCAGTGGCAGCATTAGGATAAGAGTTAAGATCCTTATGTATAAATAGAGTATTTTTCATGGGTTGTTTGTTGAAAAAGTAACTCTCCTTAATAACAAGTTCTTTAGAAGAGGCCCCTTCACTTTCCTAATAATTTATTTTCTTTTCTCTCTTTCTTTCTTTTTTCTTTTCATTTGTTTTTTATCCTCAAACACTTGGGGTGGTGTTAAAGGATTAAAAACAATTTTTCTATCCTTATGAGTGAAAGATATTTTATTAGTAAGGCCATCATGTATAGTATGTTTGTCAAATTGTCATGGCCTACCTAAAAAAATATGACAAGCTTCCATAGGGATCACATCACATAAAACTTTATCTTTATAATCTCCTATAGAAAACTTGACCTTCACTTGTTGATTTACCTCCAATTCTTTACCTTCATTGAGCCAATGAAGTTTATAAGGTTGAGGGTGAGGAATGGTGGTAAGAGCTAACTTGTTAACCAACCTTGTACTACAAAAATTAGAACATGATTCACTATCAACAATGAGAGAACAAAGTATTTTAGAAACTAAACATCTTGTATGAAAGATGTTCTCTCTTTGTGATAATGACGTGGGACAAGGTTGACTTCCAAGAAGCCTTTTGACCATAAGAAGATCACCATCAAAAAGATAAAGCTTTTCTAGTTCATGGTCACTAGTTTTTCTTCACTCTCACTAGAAGATGAAGATAATGAAGATTCTTCACTATAAATGTCTTTACCCCTTAAGATCATGGTCTTTTTGGTGGGGCATTGAGAGGCAATGTGTCCTCTTCCTAGACACTTAAAACATTTGATCTCACTCGTCTTTGAACTAGTTTATTAGGTGATCTTTTTCTTTTCTACATCTTTTTCAATTTCTTAAGTCTTAGAGGGATTTTCTTTAGAATAATTTTTAAATGAACTTCCCTCCCTCTTCGAATCTTCCTTGAAATAAGATTTGGAATTGAGATTTTTAGAAGATTTTCTAAGAAGTTGTTGTTCTACCCTTATACAAATTTGGACCAAATATCATCAAGGTCCCTATAAGGGAGTAACTTAACTCTATCTCTTATTACAAAGTTTAGACCACTCAAGAATCGAGCAATGGTCAATCTTTCTTCCTCCCTTATTCCAGCACTCATCAAATAAAACTTCATTCTTTGTCTATACTCTTCCACACTCATGTTCTTTTGTTGGAGGCTTTGGAGCTTATCCATAAGCTCCCTACTATAATAAGAAGGTATATGCCTTCTTCTCATAGCAATCCTCAAATCATTCCAATATTCTATAGGAGGGTCATTATGGAGTCGCCTTTCTCTAACCAAGGTTTTCCACCAATACATAGCTTGTCCTTTGAAAGCTAAGGTGGCCAAAGGAACTTTTCTTTCTTCACCTACTTGGTGACAAGTAAAGATTTGCTCCACTTTCATTTCCCAATCCAAGTAGGCATCCACGTCTTCTTTTCCATGGAAAGGAGGGAGATCAACTCGTGATTCCCTAACCTTTGGTTCCCTAATGATTTTTCTAGGAGTAGGTTGGTAATATTCATCCACATTCAAACTTCTAACATCCTCTTGGCTTGTGGAGCCATGGGAACTCTTATGACTTTTCTTTTTGTTAAGTTT